ATAATAATAATAATAATAATAATAATAATAATAATAATAATAATAATAAACTTAATGATAATAATAATAATAATAATGATAATAATAATATAATCATAATAATGATAATAATGATAATAATAATAATAATAATAATAATAATAATAATAATAATAATAATAATAATGATAATGATAATAATAATAATAATAATAATAATAATAATAATAATGATAATAATAATAATAATAATAATAATAATAATAATGATAATAATGATAATGATAATAATAATAATAATAATAATAATAATAATAATAATAATAATAATAATAATAATAATAATGATAATAATAATAATAATAATAATGATGATGATGATGATGATGATGATGATGATGATGATGATGATGATGATGATGATGAGGATGATGATGATGATGATAATAATAATAATAATAATGATAATAATAATAGTAATAACAATAATAATGATAATAACAATAATAATAATAATAATAATAATAATAACAATAATAATAATAATAATAATAATAATTATGATAATGATAATAATGGTGATAATAAAAATAGTAATAGTAATGACAATAATGATAATAATAATAGTAATAACAATAACAATAATAACGATAATAATAGTGATAGCAATAACAATAATAACGATAATAATAGTAACAACAATAACAAAAATAACAATAATAACGATAATGACAATCATGACCATCATTATTATCATTATTAATATTATTATAATCATTATCATTATCATTATCATTATTATCACCATCACTATTAGCAGTAGTAGAAGTAGTAGTAATACTATCATAGTAATATTATCATATTTGATATGATGATAATATGATATTCTTTTCATTATCATCAATATAATAGTAATAATAGTAATAAGATCCTAATAAAACCCCATAAAGATACATAAAGAATAGAACAGTGGATAAAGCACAAGACGACGATAATTAGAGACTCCTACGACGAAAATTGCAACGAGTTTTGTCATTAATTCACTTGCTGCAACGCGGGTATTAAACTTGTCTTGCATAACGGGACTAAGTTGGAGCTAAGTTAGGTCGACGCTGCGAAGACGTAGGCTTATATTATCTTGCTCGGAAGGAAACAAACAAAGAAGCAAACAAGTTGGTCTTGTCCTTGTTTAGGTGTTGTTTGGCGGGGGAGGGGGGAGTGTTGTTTGGGACGGGGGATGGGCGGGGGGTGTTGTTTGTTGTTGTTTTGATTTGTTTGTTGCTATGATGGGAATATAGCTTATGCGCATATTCACACACACACTCATACGCACGTATATACTTTCTGAATATGAATGTGTGAGTTTGTATATGTGTGTGTATAAAAATGTGTATGTGTTTGTGTGTATGTATATATGTATATATATATATATATATATATATATATATATATATATATATATATATATATATATATATATATATATATATATATATATATATATATATATAAATATATATATATATATATATATATATATATATATATATATATATATATATATGTATGTATATATATATATATATATATATATATATATATATATATATATATATATATATATATATATATCAATATATATATATACATATATATATGTATGTGTATATATGTATATATATATATATATATATATATATATATATATATATATATATATATATATATATATATATATATATATATATATATGCATATATATTTACATATATATATATATATATATATATATATATATATATATATATATATATATATATATATATATTTACATATATATGCATATATATATATATATATATATATATATATATATATATATATATATATATATATATATATATATATATATATATATATATATATATATATATATATATATGTATATATATATATATATATACTTTTCTAAACATTACGGCCAAACTGTCTTCCTTCCTTTCCTAAATCTTTTTCACCACGGAAACTTTTAAAACATATAGTATTTTATTTTACTGTATTTTATCTCCTTTTCAAACATCATACCGTTAAGACAAATAGATTAAATTTTAAAAATATATATTTCCCCAAAACAATATATAAAAGTGAATAAAAAATAGATAAATAAAATAAATCCAACTGAAATTAGACTGAATTTGATTTAAAAAATAAAGCACAGCGAATCAAAATTATGTTTGAAAAAAAAAAAAAGGAAAATCTTTAAAAATCTCGCCCTCCTCTTCCAAGCGAATTTCCCGGATGATGGACAGCTTAATCACTCTCTCTTGATCGCTTATAAGTAGATTGTCACACCCTGATATGCTAATTAGGCCCGTGATGTTAGTCTCTCTTATTTCCAGCAGCAAAGGTGAAGTTTAAGCGAGTTGGTCGTTCTAAAAGTCTTTTTTTTTTTTCTCTTTCTTTTTTTTTCTTTTTTTTTTTGTTTATTTCATTTGATTATTTCATTCTCTTGTTTTCTGTCTTTTTCTCTCTATTCTTCTCTCTTTCTCTCTTTCTGTCTGTCTATCTGTCTGTTTGTCTGGCTATTTGTCTATTAATCTGTCTATCTATCTCTTCTGTCTGCCTATTTATTTACATCTATATCTTCTTCTATGTCTGTTTATCTATCTATCTATATATCCATTTAGCTATCTTTTTAACTATCTATTTCTGTCTATCTATCAGCCTTACTCTCTGCCTCTCTCTTTCCTTATTCATCTCCATCATTTTTTTGCACGATTATATATTAATATAAAACCACTTATGAAGGTTGATGAGGAGTTCTAAATCTCTAAATGTAAATAGACAGCGCGAAGTACATAAAAAGGGAAACTATCCAACATCGTGTAAATTTTTGCCCCCGAGACATTTTTTTTTCTCTCTCTCACTCTCACTTTTAACAGCTTTTCCATTTACTGTTTGAACAGGGCTTCTGTCTTCGGGGGGAGGAAGGGGAAGGGGGAGGAGGGAGAGGGGCGAGGAGGGAGAGGGGGGGAGGAGAGAGAGGGGGAGGGGGAGGAGGGAGAGGAGAGGTCGGGAAGTTGATAGGGGGAGGAGGGAAAGAGGGAGAGGAGGGTGTGGGGAGGGGGAAGGGGAAAGGAGTAGGGGAGAGTGAAAGGGCGGGGGAGAGGATGGAGTGGGGGGGAGAGTAAATGGGGGAGGAGGTAGGGAGAGTGAGAGGGGGAGGGAGGGGAATTCGAGAAGGGGAGGGGCAGAGCGAAAGGGGAGGGACTATAAACAAATGAAAATCCCTTATATTAGCATATAGAGGCTATCACTGCATCTCCCTGGTGCACGAAAAACGGCCTTAAGCCCACGTGGGGGGGGGGGAGGGAGGGGCGCAAAGGGTAGGGGGAGGGAAGGGGATAGATGAAGAGGCGTGGGGCAGCGAAGAGAGAAAAATAAATCAGGCTTGGGGGATTACGTACCAAGATTAATGGAGTCTCATAGCAGAGTCTATACTTTTGTTTTCTCTTAATGGAATCTGAAGCTTTTACATCCACTCGGGAAACTTTTTCCTCTATCTTTCTGTCGTTTTTTCCTCCCTGTGGGTGCGGCGTGTTTGTTTCTGTGTATTAGGAGATTTAAGAGTGAATATGAGCGAGAAAGAGAGAGAGAGAGAGGGGGGGTGGACGGGAGAGAGAGAGGGGAGGGGAGAAAAAGAGAGAGAGAGAGGGGGGTGGGCGGGAGAGAGAGAGGGGAGGGGAGAAAGAGAGAGAGAGAGAGAGAGAGAGATGGGGGGAGGAGAGAGAGAGGGGGGGGGGAGCGAGCGAGCGAGCGAGCGAACGAGAGAAAAAGAGAGAGAAAGAGAGAGAGAGAGAGAGAGTGAGAGAGAGAGAGAGAGAGAGAGAGAGAGAGAGAGAGAGAGAGAGAGAGAGAGAAAGAGAGAGAGAGAGAGAGAGAGAGAGAGAGAGAGAGAGAGACAGAGAGACAGAGACAGAGAGAGAGACGGACAGAGAGAGAGAGAGAGAGAGAGAGAGAGAGAGAGAGAGAGAGAGAGAGAGAGAGAGAGAGAGAGAGGGAGAGAGAGAGAGAGAGAGAGAGAGAGAGAGAGAGAGAGAGAGAGAGAGAGAGAGAGAGAGAGAGAGAGAGAAAGAAAGAGAGAGAGATCTGAGGTTCAGTTCCTGGTTTACATTTTTTAAGTACATATTTAGTTTTCAATGTTGTTTCGGAGGTGATTCATGTATGCTAGACTCTGATAGTACGAAGGTGAATTACATAATTTGTGTGTTTCCGTGTACATGTGTTTTCATGTACATGTGTACATGTGTGTGTGCATATCTACAGACATAGGCACATGCAGACACATATGACCATATTCTATATTTCTGTGTATGTGTCTGTGTCTGTAGTTGTGTGCGTTAGAGAGAGTGAGAGTAAGAGAGTAAGAGAGAGAGAGAGACAGAGAGAGAGAGAGAGAGAGAGAGAGAGAGAGAGAGAGAGAGAGAGAGAGAGAGAGAGAGAGAGAGAGAGAGAGAGAGAGAGAGAGAGAGAGAGAGAGAGAGAGAGAGAGAGAGAGAGAGAGAGAGAGAGAGAGAGAGAGAGACGAAAACAGACCTATAAAAGTATAGAGACAGATAGATGGACAGATAAATACATAGCTACGTAACAGGTAGGTAGGTAAGTAGATAAATTGATAAATTGATAGATAGATAGATAGATAGAAGTACATAAAGACAGATGGACAGATAAGTAAATAGATAAAAACATAGATAGGTAGATAGATAGATAGATAGTTGAGAAAGAAGGAAAGGCGGGGACTTGCACTAAATTGTAAGGCCTAGGGAAATTAACACTTGATTTATCAAACATTTATGGACAGTAACGAAATTACATTAAATCTTATGATATGACCATATATATCTCGTATATATATTTACATAGTCTACCTGCCTGTCTATCAACCTATGTATTTATTTATCTACCAGTTTATTAACCAACGTCTGTCTATCGAAGTATATACTGAGCATGCCTCCCGCCTCTCAACCATCACTGCACCTGATGAGCATCAACTCCTCGAAGCTCGAGTCCGACAGAGGACTCTGGCCGGGTCTCCACCCCCGCCCACCAACGCCCACGATTCGTTCGACCGGAGCGCACCCACCGGGGGCGGCCAGGTACTTGTGGGCGAGACCAGCCAGCAGGGGAAGCGCCCCCTCCTTTGCTCGCCAGTAAGCCAAGGGGTCTGCGTCTTCGGGCAAGCAGGGTTCTTCGAGGTACTGTGAGACCTCGGCTTTCGGAGGGCTGTCGGGAGAGGCGGAGGAGGGGTTGGCCGAAGGGGGAGGTCGGCGGCCCGGGCGACTGGACATGAATGCGAATAATCTGTTCCGCTTGATGGGAGGAGGCGATGGTTGGACGCGGGTGGGGGCAGATGGCGCTGGGGGCGCCTCAGAGGTGGCACTGACGGCGGCCAAGAGGAGGCGCTTCATTTCCTGCACTCCTCCCTCTTGGCACCAGTCGGCCTTGAAGCGAGGGTCGAGCATCGCGGCGAGCTGGAAGTATTCCATTTCTTCATAAGAAGAGAGTCTTTCTTCTAAGGACAGCTGTAGATTCGTCACCAGCTTATTATTGAAGGTCGCCTCCAACTCGCGCAGTGAGCTCCTCAGGCCCTTCGTACACACCAGCACCAAGCTCGCGGTCACGGCTTTCTCGTGCTGGATCTTGTCAAGGACCTCTTCGAAGGGTTCTAATATGGTACATAATTCTTCAATTAACTTGAGATCACTTGACGAGAATGCTACCGACGCGCCAAGCCTAATGAGGGTCTCTCGCGGCAGGCTGATAACTGATCTTAGTAATCGCAGCTGACAGTTCCATACATTTTGTTTTGTCTGTCTCTCTGTCAGCCCTTCAACCACGAGACTTGATTTCCGGCAGAAGAAAACGAGCTCCGACGCGCGGCTAATTATATCCCTGAAAGAGTCTGCAACCGCACTGAGTCCATCCTGGACGACAAGTTGCAAAGAATGTGCATAACAAGAAATTTTATGTGATGGTGGGAAGTCCAACTTCTCCGTCGACAAGACAGAAAACTCAAGTTCATCACTCTCAGTTTCTAGACACTCGTCTTCCAGAAGAACCCAGCCTGGTAAAGAAAAAGCCTGGATCAAATTGGTAAGATTGTCAGTGAAAATTAAGGCAACTTTCCCTGTTAGTCTATATCGCAAAATCGTTTCCTGATACAACTGGAATATGTCTTCCATGATGAAAACTTCTTTCTTTCTTCGGATGGCCAATATGACGCTCCTCAACATGTATTCCAAAATAAAGTGTCCAGTTATCGCAACATATGAGTGCGCGAATCTTGAAGACCAGACATCGAGAGTCAGACACATACTTTCAACATGCTGGAGTCTGGCCTCCACATCAGATTGGATCTTAGCCACGCAGTCAGGCACGAACTTGACGCTCAATGATCTCGCGCTCGGAACAGTATACCGAGCCTCTGCCTTGGCCATCAGCTCCATGAACTTCTGACCCTCAACGAAGTCCAGAGGAAGGAGGTTTTCGGCAATAACACTCACGATGGATCTCGTGATGGCCTCCTGGCGGTGGTCGCTGGCCCTCCACTTCGGAGATCGGCCGCCGGAGGAGAAGAGACTGGTGCTGGACGCCTGCCCGGGGGTGGCCATGGCCGATGTCCGCGTCGTGGGCGTGTCCAGCTTTTGGAAGATGTCGGGATGCTTCCTCTGCAGGAAGATATGATGAAAATAAATGAAAATGGATTCATGAAGGATACAGGAAATATAAGAAAAAAACAGAGTGAATATTTGGAATAATGTCGGACTGGGGGGCGGGGAGGATAGCACTGAAGAAATTGTTTTTAGAGGCCTGATATATTGAAATCCTGTAAATTAGTAGTATAAGATATTTAAAAGATATCTTCTAGTGTAACTGGGTAATTATTATCCAATTGATTATTCGTAGATTTCACATATGTAATTACTTTTAGTAGGATGTTGATCAGAAGCGTCCAGTTACCATGAAGGTTAAATCACAGACTTGAAAAGATTCATACTGCTAAAAAAAAAAAAAAAAAAAGGATTTTGTTTTTGTTTTTTTCTTTTTCAAAATGCAAATCAAGTTATTGGAACATTTACTCATTTCCTTTTGTCCTGAGTGTTTTTTTAAAATAGAGTGAGGGGAAAATTGGGAGAAAAGAATATCAATTTGGAACTAGAACAGGAAAGAGATGAATACGATAATTACGATTATGAAGGTGAAAAGGTGTAAGGAGTAAAATGTCAAAACAGAGAGAGAAAAAAACTAAACATATTGCCAGAAAAAAGGCAGAAAATGGAAAAGAGGAGAAGAAAATTTAACACAAAAAAATAAATAAACCATATTTAATGACACGAGAAACCGGACGAGAAAGACGAAAGAAAGGAACAAAAAATAAATAAATAAATAAAACGATAAATAAGCAATGAAAGCTACCAACGATAAGAGAATCGCTGGCAGAGACCGCCGGGCGCCCCACCATGAGATGCCTCCTGAAGTTGGACGTCGCCTGCACCGAGCCAGCGATGACGGCCTGGCAGTGATGGCACTTGGCTTGGCAGTTGCCCACAGTGCCACTCGGCGTCGGCGCGGAAAAGTGGTCAAACACGCTCGCCTTTCTGGGCAT